AGCGGGCCCCCTGCGCATGCTCACTGTCAGCGCTGGACATACCCGCTACACAGCCCATCCCATGCAGTGTCTCCTCTGCCCTCAGTAAGCGGGCCTCCTGCGCATGCTCACTGTCAGCGCTGGACATACCCGCTACACAGCACATCCCATGCAGTGTCTCCTCTGCCTTCAGTAAGTGGGCCCCCTGCGCACGCTCACTGTCAGCGCTGGACATACCCGCTACACACACCCCATCCCATGCAGTGTCTCCTCTGCCTTCAGTAAGCGGGCCCCCTGCGCACGCTCACTGTCAGCGCTGGACATACCCGCTACACAGCCCATCCCATGCAATGTCTCCCTGACTTGACCTTCTGTCATGTGTGGTCACATGCAGGTACAAAGGTATAGAGACACAAGGGCACACCATGCACAAGTGCCCATACATATGTCTACCTACACCCCCACCCCCAGTGGTGTGTACAGGAGAGGGGCTAAGTTCAGAAAGTGGGTGCTGAGCATGGCTGGCCACTTGTGTATAAAGTCAAGTCCACATGCACAGATGGACAGGTACACACAGACCACACACACAAGGACAAATGTGCACCCATATGTACATGCACACACAGAAGCACACACACCCCAGTCACACACGAACACATGCACACAGACAAGGGCATTTATGTATAAAGACCCCATGTGCACACACAGGTAACTGTAAGTGCCTTCAGAAGTGGACGCGGCACCCAGACCCACACAGGCACACATACGCACACACAGCAGGTGCACTCGTGAGCATGCGGGCCCCACACAGATGTAGAAGTCCTGGGAAAAGAGCACATACATTGTGTCCCTGGGCAGCTTCTCCCTACCCCAACCTAAAAAGACAAAAGCCCCCTGCCGGCTTGCTGGACCCAGCCCAGTCCTCCAGGATGCTGGGAGCGGCGTGCCGCAGAGGGAGTGTGGCCTCCGCTCTCGCTGCCGGGTGAGGAAGGCGGTCCACAGGAGGTCTCTGGAAGGGGATCTGGGAAGCAGGTGATCCAGCAGGCAGGCTGGCACAGCATGCGCAGCGTCCAGCCGACGCATGCTCTCCTGGTACTGTTTCCTTTCCTAGGCCCCCAACTGATACCCGGAGAGATGAACGCAGACATCTTGAAGTTGCTCCTGTGTCGCTGATATTGGACAAAGCCCTGCAGACGAGGAGACAGAAGTCCCCCGTCCCCCTCCCCCCCCGGGTGGCCTCCCTTGCCGGGGTCTCAGGAGTGTCAGAGGGGGCTGCTGAGTCTGGCTCAAGGCTGGCTCTGGCGTAGTGAGCCAGGGGACCTGGGAACCCTCCTCCCTGAGCACTCACGCCAGAGGATCCTTGGGCCTCCCTGGTTGTTCGTCCCTGCACACTTGCTGAGCTGTGCTGCCAGATGCTGCTCTCCCAGGACTTCTCCCCCCAGACCTCCTGTAGTGTGGCTGGACAAGCCTGCCCAGGTATCTGGGACTCTCCCAGATGACAGCCTCCTCTCCAGAGGGTTTATAGAGAAAGTCTACTGGTCAGCCCAGGGTCACCAACAGAGTGGCTGGAAGGCCCCAAGCTCTTCCCAAACTCACTGCTCTGACAAAGCACAGGCCTCACCAGGGTCATGGCGCCTTGGCCCAGGGACTGAGGGGAAGGAGGGTCTGAACTTCAACCACAGAGAACAAAGCCGTACCCTATCTGTCATCTTGTCCCCTAGTCGCGCAGGTTCAGAGCCTGTCAGCTTCGCCCTGGTCTGGTCTGACATCCAAGGTCTGGTGTACAGGGCCTTATTGCACTGCGTCACTCTAGGAACCACCCCCGGCCCCCAACAGGGGAGCCACAGGGTTCAACAAGGAGAGCTCTGCTCTCGGCTCAAGGCTTAGCTCCCCAGCCCTGCTAACTCTGCAGCCCTGCCCCTCTCTGTCCTTCAGCTTCGGTGTCTGAGGACAGGAAGAGCCTACTTCTGGAAGCTGGCTTTCCCCGCAGTTTCCCTACAGAATGGCTTCCTGTTGCTCTATAGCACCTGCTTTGGCAGCAGACTTGCCACCATCAGGTAACGGCATGTTCCTGGGTGCTCCTGAGGAGCCTCACCCAACACTGTCATCACTGTCCAGGAGGGGCTGGGCACAGAGAGGGCAGCAGTGATAGCTGGCCAGTGAGCGGATGGGTGAAAACAGTGACATCTGCTTTATTTGTTCTCAGACAGTAGCACACACTTTCCTAATCACATAGCAGCTGCAAGCGCAGAGGCCAGCAGAGCACTGTGGCCATGGCCTGGGGTCTGTGGTCCCGTGGTCAGTCCCCCTTCAGGGCTCCAGCTCACTGGCAGGGCAGGAATGACAGCTGCTCCTTATCCCTGCAAAGACAACAGTCAGAGTTTAGTCATGGCTCTCTGGGGATGACTGTGTGCCTACAGATCCAGAGGCCTTTTGCTCAGGGCTCTGTGCCGGCCACCCAGGACAGGGCCACTTCCCTGGAGCAGGACCACTTGCTGGATGGCTGCTGTGCCTGGAGACAGAGTCTCTGTAATAGTGTCCAGAAGGACACAGACCCTCTCCCCCTCCCCCCCCGTACCACACCCCCCCAAGCTGGCTCAGGAGCGGACTGACCTGAGCCTCCCACATACAGAGAAGGGCTGGCTTGGCAGTGATCTCAGCGGGAGGCCCTGACCTTAGAGCTTAGTGTAGGTGCACAGAAGCCTCGTCACACTTTTGCTCGGCCTTACTGGGGTGCCCCTTTGGTCTCTAACTTAACAGCCAAGAATTTCTTTCTTTTTTTTTTTGGTCGTCCGTGGGGCCTGAACTCTGGGCCTGGGCGCTGTCCCTCAGCTCTTCAGCTCAAGGCTAGCGCTCTACCACTTGAGCCACAGCACCACTTCAGGCTTTTTTCTTTTTGCTTATGTGGTGCTGAGGAATCGAACCCAGGGCCTCATGCATGCAAGGCAAGCGCTCTACCACTGAGCCACCTTCCCAGCCCCTGGGAGAGCGAGTGCACGGCTGTTTAATCGGGGCTCACAGTCCTTAGACTGCTACGCAGCGGATAGCTGCACGTGATATCAGGCTCCCCACCTGGAGGTGTCCCATAGGTGTCTGCGCCGTCCCAGGGGCTCAGGCCTGCCGCTTGAGGCTCCCCACCAGGTGGGCCCCTTTTTTCTGACACCTGGGTCCTTTTGGGGGACCCTAGCTGCCAGGAGCCTTATGAGACAAAGGCTGGAGGGGATGGTGAGGTTTTCTCTAACTCCTGTCCTATCTGAGGCCACGTGTGTGTCCCTGAGTGCTGGGAGCCTGGACACACTGGTCCAGAGCACAAGAACATGCTCCAAACAGGCTGGGAGGGCCAGGCTAGCTTTTGCCATGGACAACTGCTCATCTCCAATTCACTCTCTAGTAGTGCTAGGGGCGGGGGCTGGGCCTGGCCGTGTCCCAGAGCCTCTCTAGGCAGGCTGGAGTGACAGAGACATGCTGGAACATACTGCCATCCATCTGTCTGCCTTCATCATCGTATTTCTGCCTTGGTGCAGCAAGGACAGTGGTGAGATATGTCGGTATAAACATATACCGCTGGAAGGCAGGGCTGACCGCACCCTCCATGGTATTCGTGGGAGCAGCCAAGCAGAGAGGTCATGCAGAGGTAGTGGGGGAGCTCATCCCTTGGCAAGCACAGAGCCCAGTTCTGACTCCAGAGGAGAGGCAGGTGGCTGGTTTGATGCCCGGGGGGGGGGGCAGGCTGGCCTTACCTTGTGGGCAGAGCTGACACAGTGCTGGTATGCCTTGACCAGGTCTGAGCAGAGCAGCACCTCGTGCAGATGGTCTCGATAGCAGCGGAGGATCTGGTACTGGAGCCCTGAGCACACAGGCTCCACTCGGCGGGGCCTGGGAGGGAAATGACACCATTTACAAACATCCATGGGCCAGACACGAGGCTAGAAGCCACTGGTAGCCATCTAACCCACTACAGGGCCGAGGGTGGCAAAAGCATCACACCCTGGGGGAGGAGGCTCTGGGCTCCATGCTGAGCCACCTCTCAGCCTGGAGCCAAGAGCGGCTTGGGTGCAGGAAAGGGCTGGGGGGCAGTGACCTCAGCTGGAGGCCCTGACCTCTAGTTGGCCCTCCTAGCCCGGCCTCGCTAGGCCTCCTCTGTGCCAGGGTTCACTTGGGACTATAACCAGATACACACTATTCTCTCATGCAAAATCTTTCCTATGATTTCAAAATAAATACGCGTGAAGTCAGGAAATCTAGAGAACTAAGAATGTCCAAAAATGAAACGAAGCGTTTCAAATTTCTTACAGATAGCCATGGTAACATCTTAAGATGCTTTACTATTTCTTCTTCCTTCCTTCATTGGAGTAGTTGTAGTGCCCACAACAAATGAATATACTCACTTTTCAAAATTGTGAAGAATGCGCACACACGCGTGCGCGCGCACACACACACACGCGAGAATACTGGAGCAGGAGTCTCCCTGCCCTCAGCCTCACGCACACACACGCGTGCACGCGCACACACACACACGCGAGAACACTGGAGCAGGAGTCTCCCTGCCCTCAGCCTCACGCACACACACGCGTGCACGCGCACACACACACACACGCGAGAAGACTGCAGCAGGAGTCTCCCTGCCCTCAGCCTCACGCAGGCTCCTCTTCCCACCCCTGCAGCCTTCCTCTCAGCTTCTCACGGCCCGGCATGCTCACACTTGCCCTTCCATGGGCTCATCGCCTCACTCCTGACTCCCACACTCACCACGTGTCCACCTAGCGGCTCACACTACAGCGGGGACACACCCATGCAGCTCCCCCCAGTGGCCCTAGGCTGGGAGGCGGCTGAATGCCACCACTCACCGGCCCTCCTGCACACTCCTGCTCAGGCCACAGGGCAGGCACTGTGAGCACAGCCATGTGTATTTACATGGGCTTGGCCACACCAGCTCTACCCAGCTGCTGAGTGTGGACCAGGTGCGCCCAGGGGGCGCTGTCACGGCGCTGTGGCTCCACAGTAACCCTGGCTAGTGTCCCACAGTTCGGTACGCTCATGGCGGAGGGGGGGGGACGGGACGTGAGGCGGGGCCTTTCCTCAGCTTTCTTAGCCAAAGGCAGGCCCAGCATTATGCACATACCGCGCTCTCAGATGCAGACGGGGCCTACAGGCCTGCAGCTCTCCTGCCAGGTCTCTACTGACAGCAGCCACTGGAGGAGAGCAGCACCACTACTGTTTACGATAACCTAATCAAACCAGACTCATCTACAAAGAACAGAGAGCAGCAGAACCCTCCAAGGCTAAAGAGTCAGGTGGCATCTCACCAGCTCGCTCTAGCAGTCTGGAGATGGGGTACTTTGGGCATTGCAGTCCAGCCCCACAACACTGCCCATGGTCCTTCTTTCTTTCCTGTACAACCCTGAACACGGTCTTCCTGCTCAGACCCAATCACAACAGAGTGGGACTGAGCAGGGAGAAGCAGGCTCTCTAGGGCCCCATTCCAGCACTCCTGAGGGGAGGGCCGACGGGCCGGAGCAGAGCACACCTATCCCCAGCAGCCAGGTGGGGCTGGGGAGGTCACCCTGGCATGAATTTGCTGCCCACCTGGCCCCCTGGCGTGACCCTCTCCAGCCCATACTGGATCTTGCTGCATAGACCCAGTCTTGAAGAGCCATGCTCTGACAGAGGAAGTTTGTGTGTGTCCGCATCCACTTCCCAACCCATCAGGAGGCCCATGGGCCTCCCCCACGGGCTTCCACCTAGGGCCAGGCCCACCGTCAGGAAGCCACCCATCACTCCCCATGTGCCTGTAGAATGGTTGTGGTTTTGGACTTTATCATCGTGGGCACAATGGGTGTTAGCATGGTCCTTTAAAACCGTGTGTGCTTGGAGGAAGTGGTGTTACTGGCACATGTCTTCTCTGTGCACAGCTCTGAGCATCTCCGCAACCCCTTCCCCCCCCCCCCCCCCCCGCCCCGTCCTCATCTCAGGCTCCCACCTGAGAAGGTGTAGGGTCTGAGAGCACAGTCCCTGTGCGCTCGCCTGCCCCCTGCACTGCTGCTCAGCCCACTGATCCCATCCCTGCTTTCTTACATGCTGCCCCTCTAGAGTCCGTGTCCCTAAAGACACAGCATCTATGTTGAAGCAGTGCCCACTTCTCCCTCCAACGTATGACTTAGGACCCTTGTCCCCCACCATCATGTGATGTAAGGTTGAGCAGACACCACTTAGGGGAAGCGCCAGGCTCAAATGCAGGTAATGTCTGCTCTGGGACTAGGAGTGAGGCTAACCAACCAGGGAGGAAAAATGTTCTCTGTTAAGGTCCAGTGGAGGTGTCCAGGCCCAGTCTGAGTCATCTTAGAGCCAGAACTCTGATTCTGAGACTTGTCCTCTACAGATGGACCACTGAGACATGACACCTATTCTTCAGGATTACAGAAGAACAGAGGCTGGCCTGATTCCTTGTCCCTTTCCCCATGAGCTTCACTTGTTCCTCCCGCACCGGTCTTCAGGTGTCCGGTGAGGGGCCCTGGGCATGTCAAGGGGAAACCTCAGAGAACACCCATGGGCTCCCAGGTCAGGAGAAACTGGGCCATGGTGAAATCTATCCCTTTCACACCAATAGCACCTCTGGGACCACAGAGGCCTCTTCTCCGGGATGCAGCAGGACAGTATGAGCACGCAGAATGGTGGGCAAATGTCAACAGGAAGAAATTCTACCCATTTGTTCACAAAAAGCTCCAAATGGGACAAGACAGGCAGACTCTGACTCCCGAAGTGAATGCATTCCCTGCAGCGGGCAGGGCTAAGGCTGGGGTGAAGCTGATTGTGAGAGGAGTACAATGCACGCTAGCCAGGCCAGCCCCTCCGGTCTAGGTTGGGGCCACCTTATTTTATAATGCATGCCAACAACAGGAGTTCTTTGAGTGGTGCCTCTTCAAGTGCTCAGACTCAGGTGTTCACAGCATGCCACGAGTTTTCCAGGGACAGAGTAACTCCTGGACCTCTAGCTCAGTGCCTTGTGTACATCTGGTGACACCGGGGAGCCCCCACCACCCTAGGCAGTGCGTAGGTGCCCTGTCTCGCCCCAAGGCAAGGCCAAGCTCTCATCTCTCACCTTTGTACAGAAGGATGGTGACACACCTGCCCCAAAGCTGTGACCTGAAAAGTGTGTGAGTGTTGAGAAGTGCAGCTCTTGTTAGCAACTGAGCTGCAGGTGTTGGGAACAAAGGCCGTCAGGGCAGCGGTGGGAGGGGCGGTGGTGCCTGCGGGAAGGTGGGTGGGTGTCTGGCAGCCCTGGGGAGGTGCAGCCCTGCATGGAGCCTACAGCGTAGGACGCTGCCACACTGTTCTTCCCACCCAGGCTCTCAGAGCACTCAAGACCCGCTCAGACCTGGCTGGGAGCAAGGCCTGGGCCACGTGACCCAGGTGGGGCCATCCTGGAAAGGTACACGGCCGAAACCGTAATCCTGCAGGGAGGTCAGGAAACTGGGCTCCTGGCAGCCACAGTGCATAACCCGGAAGGAGACAGACCCCACTCCCCGCGGTTCTACTCCCAGCTCGCCTGTGGCACAGGCTTGCATGCTCTGCTCTGGCTTATGTCACAACCGCAGCTGCTATCAGCAGGGCACAGCTTGGGGAGAGGTGTCCATGTGCAGGGGCCACGGATTCTCTTCAGAGCCCATATCCTTCCTGGACTCAGAACATGACCTTATTTGGAAGTAGGGTCATTAGCGGTGAGGCCGATGAAGATGAGGTCACAGTAAGGTAGCATGGGCTCCTAACACAATGGAAAACTAATGTCTCTCCTTGTATGAAAAAGTGAAGGAAGGATGAGGACAGCTGCACAGGGAGTCAGAGGTGGGGCCAGCGTCGTGCTCTAAGCAGCCCAGGGATGCCGGACCTCTCCGAGTGTCCCGCCCTGCTGCCACCCCTGGGCCTCTGGACTTCTGTCATCTGGAGGCACCAACTGGTAGTGCCATGTTACGCGCCCCATATAGAAGGTGCCCTGACCTGCCCTCCAGAGGCCACACTGGCAGGGCTGTGGACAGCAGCTATGGGAGCCAGCACATTCAGGACCACACTCGGAGGTCTGGCCAGGGCCCTTGCACCAGTAGTACTGCAGTGAGCTCTGTCACGAAGGTCCGTGCCACATTCTGCTCTGACCTGGTGAGGCACCATCTGCATTTAGATGTGAACCAAGTGCCTCAGCCCCCTGCTCAGGGGAGAAGCTGTGACTCCTGAGTAGGTCTGCACAGTACCTTCCTTGACTCTGCAGGAAGCTTTGCCTGCCGGAAGACGTCAGGGTGAGGACCAGGCTATAAGAAGGGAGAAAATACACTTCTATCCTAGCAACCAGTGGAAATTCAGGTTCTCTGGGATGGATGGCAGGCCTGTGGTCCTGCCACAGACTACCATGCTCTCTGAATATCCATGACAACCTTGTGAGGTAGGCATCACTACCCCACTCTCAAGTGCTTTAACAAAGGTCACACAGTAAGGTGGATTCAGGAGAAATGCCTGGTGTGTTTGGTTCCACGGCCCTTGTCCCTACAGTGCCCCCCCACCCCCCAGCTCTTCTACCTTTAGAGAAAAGATAGAGCAAAAGTAGAGCATGCAAGGCTGCACCACAAGAGAGCTGAGCATAATGTAGGTCTCTCACTTTGGAAGACAAGCAAGCAGCAAAACAGGCAGACCATGCAGTTTGAGGCCCCTCCATGGAGCCTGCTAGAAGCTGCTGCCTCCAAGTGAGGAGAGGGGAGGGAGGGCTCCCAGGCAGGAGCCTAGGGAGAAACAGGAGAGAGGAAGATGCCTGATTTGTGGATGCATGAAGCAAACAAAGGACAGACGTGGAAAGGAAAGTGAAGAATCAGTGGCCTGGGTCACAACAGGAA